TCAACTTTTTCATCAATCATTTCTTGTGGGAGAACTGAAAAATCTCAGTCTTGTCTTTTGAAGAGTGTTATTGATCACTGAAATTTACACAGGAAAAAAAAAAAGCTATAGCAACCACATCCTGTCTTTGTCTTCCTATACCATTCAGCTTTGGATTTTTTTTCTTTTATTTTGGTTTAAAGCTCTTTCTGTGTTTCTTCTTTTGTCAATCTTAACATGCTTACTTAGGAGCTGGAATTTTCCCTCACAATGCTATAGTCTGTCACAATATCCTTATAATGTGTCTCTGTGCTGAACAGCTTTGTGATCAAGTAAGAAGTAGGATAACAAGAAAATAAAGTGTCTCTGTAATAATAAATATTGGATTACTAAGAGAACTCAAATATTTAAATATTTGAAGAAATTAACAATGGAAGAACCACTGTGGGGGTGGATGGGTGTGTGTGGGGGTGGTGGAGGTGAAAGCATACAATAAGAAAATAATCCAAATGTTTAAAAGGTTATTTGGCCTTTTAAAGGTATTCTTCAGTGAAGAAAATGATAAAAAGGGATTATTTTCCCACCACTGTTAGTTACCCTTTCAGCTTACCATATTAAATATTCAGTCTCCATTAAAAAAAAACCACAAAAACACCAAAAAAACAAAATACCACAGCTTCCTCTTCAGGACAATTCAGAGAATCTTTTGACTTACTCTTTTCCATACTCTCTTTGCTGAGTGTAGAAAGCTTGAGGAAACTGGACAACTTGTTCACATACCTGATGACAGAACTTAAGCATTCCCCATGAAAATACAAAAATTCAAAATAGATTCATTCACCCATTTCAGCAAGTGCTCATATGATACAGTGATGGGCATATTAAAGAAGCAAACAGCAAAGCATTTTTCATGAATACCAACTACTCTGAAAAAAAAAATGCGATTGTCAAGAAGCAAAGCTAGTTAAGATCATAATGGAACTTTCTCTGGGATGATGGTTACTTGGCACACAGCTTCATGCCTAAACCATAAAAATGTGTGTATGTGTATAACTAGGTATGTGAGTATGCAGAGGTAGGAAGCTTTGATATGGCTGTCTCAGTTACAGCCTTCTCCCATACATGTTTCTGGTTTATATCTTAACTGGGAAAATACTCCATTCAGTGTTGCTGGGCACTCAGCTTTTGCAACCCTGTCACACACTTTCTGGTGTAAAATACATGCCTCCTGTGATATCCAGCTTATAAAAATGGGCTGCAGGAGTGTAGGAAACCCTCATGCATTCTCTTCAACAAAGCAGGAGAGGAACAGCTAAGAGGAAATCTAAGAGGAGCAGCTCTTAGATTTAAGTGTCACCCAAGGGGTGCATAGATCATTTGTGTATAATGCAGGATGGCTGAATAATGGAGGATGTTACTCCTTTAAGGAGTAGTATTATTATTCCAGAATTTTCTCATGTATGAAGCTTTGCCAGGGTCATGCATGTCAGTTCTCCATCTAGCAGCTCAGGTAGGTGAGCATTTGCCTGCTTTTGGAGCTCAATATATGACCAGTCATTTTGTTCCAGATTAATTTAACACTTTGAACCAAAAGAAAACCAAAAACTCTTTCATATTACCTAGTATTTTGCTGAAACTTGGCCTTGTTAAAAAACAAACTCTTTGTAGAAACATCACCATTACTTGTACATTTTTAACTTTTGGCATGTCTGTCACAAAAACATGGAAAGGATGTTGAGATACTTCCAGATACCGTTCAGCACGCCAGATGTAAGGGAAATTATAAGACAGCTATAATTTTTTTCTTCCTTTCCTTTCTCCCATACTAAAGTTTGGCCATTGATGTTTTGCATTAGCGTAACATGTTTCTGTTTTATAAGAAAAGGATTTAAACCAATGATTATCAAGTTACACTCACTGCCACGTAATCTGCTGTTGATTTATCTGGGTTGTGGCTCATACAAGAACCAGATAAGGTCTAGTAAGATCAAGGTTAAGGTAAAGCAAACAAGTACTGCTGAAGCTAAGCAGACTCTCCTTGAAGCATTTGGCCACTTTGCTACAGTGATGTCCTTTGCAATCCATATTTTTCCAATCTCCCTTTCCCATTAGCTCAGATGGCCTGTCCAGTCAGCTCTTCACTCTTTCATCACGCCAACACACATTAATTATCCATCCAGCTTCCCATTTGGCAAGTTGTTTTTTATCATTTTTATGCCAATGTTAATATTCCATAGTCATTAAATGTTTTGGTTAAAAAAAGAAAGAAAAAAGAGGAAAAAAGGGGAAAAAAAGAGGAAAAACAACCTTACCACCACCACCACTGCTAAATGAAGAGCACGACATTATGCCATGCACACATTATCAATAGTGAACAACTTTACAGACTAACATAACTCCAAATAATAGATAAGATCAACCTGAACTGCCCTAATGTGATGCTTGCAAAGCTTGGAGTAGGGACTCCTGACAGCTCAGCCACCAACCTCTGACTACAGGGGACTGCTGGGAATCCCCAAAGGAAAGAACGATAACTCTTCTTCACTCCCCAGGATTAAATAATCCTAAAAGGCAACTAAGAAAAACAGTTGATTGTGGAAATTCACCGGGATGGCTTTACCTATTATGCAAAAAAGGCAGCACAAGGCGAGGTTACCGGAACTGTGTGCATTTTGTGCAGGTTTGCTCAGCAGCAGATCGGTTCTCCAGCCGTTAAATGTCAAGCACCCACACTATAAATTATTTCTCAATGTCTAAACAGAATTTCAGAGATATCCCCATCATTACATATGGATTTAGTGCTCAGCTTGTTCTGGTATGATTTAGGAACACCGGTTTTAGCCACTCACCTCCTTCTGCAGATAAGTAGAGTGAAGGAAAGAAAGAGAAGTTTCATGCAGAAAGAAACTGCTCGAAGGTCTTTAAAATAAATGATTTTCCGTGTTTTCAGGCTTTGAAGCAAAGGAGATTGTAAGGCTATTTTGTAAAAATGTACACCAAAATCCTTTCCCTGTTATCAGCTGCAATAACTTAGAATATTTCTCTTTTTTGCTTACATGGAAGTTTGTACTTAAAGGTAAAAAAAAATATTTATTTTAATCCTAGAAGCCCAAAGATACTGTATCTAAAAAAAGAGGAAAATTTTAAATTTTTTTAAAGAGAAAAAAATAATAGGATAAAGGGAAAAGCAAAAGAAATAAAATTACATGAGTACAAAACTTATTTTTTAGTGCATTAGCAAACTGTTCCTGCTAGTTCTTGCACTCATTTAAAACCATGGAAAGAGTGGCCCTCCTAATGATGGCAATAGACCCAAAAGAAAATTACAGCTAATTCAACTTCTAATAGAACACACTCTGAACTATAGAAAAATCTGGTTTATATATCTGAGAAAAATAACTCTTCTCAGCATTTTATGATGTCTCTAAATTTCACTAATCCTGCAATATGAGTGATATATGCATACAATATCATGTATTTTCAATCTGTATTAGAGGAAGATATTTAAGGAACATAATTTTTGTAAAGTGAAGATCAAACATAAAAGAAAAAAATAATTGTTATTAAACATTAAAATAAGATGCTAGATAAAAAATACCTTCAGCATTTTTTGGAAAAAAATTAAGAATTTTTCATCAACATCAATAAAAGAGATGACAAATTGGCAGACAAATGGAATTTAAATGACTCCATGCTCTCAAATACCAACCTTCCTACTCTTTCACAAAAGCTTAGATTAAAAGAAAGATATGGGACTAAGGGTCTATTGATTTGAATTATTTTGGAGCAAGGGAGAAAAATGGATTCCAACCACAAAATTCCCATTCAGTGAAAGGTCAGTAACCTGTTGTCTTCTTTAATGATGAGCTCCAACTTCAGCTTTTGTGACCAAAGCACTAATGAAGAAGGAAACGAGGCCATCTCTGAAACAAATAAGGCTCAAATCATTTAAGCCCAAAACACCAAAGAATAAAGTACTGTAAGGAAACAAACATACAACCAAAGAAATTTTTTCAACTCTGCCATCATAAACTTTTTGAAAATACACTGGCAAGGTATGGTATTTGTTCAAAACATACATTTTTTTATTTCCAGGTATGATTTTAGAGCCGTAGAAAAGGAGGGGAATTTTAGGAGCTCTCAATATTACCTGAAGAATAAATGTCATAAAGCAAAACTCACATTCTGCCGGCTGGTGGAGATTTGTCTGTCTAAATAAAAATTAAGAAAATAAAAATTGCAACATCTTCTATCTCTGTAAACAAGCTACTCAATACAGCTGCACAATTTGCCAAACATGGAGATCTGTCCCAGCAGTTTCAAACACATGGATGAAAAAGAAAAGTTAAGACTACACTGACAATTAAAATTGATGCAGTTTGTACACTGAAATGTTTGAGTTCCTCCCTAGTCCCTTCCGTGTCCCTATTTCCACATAGCTCTGTTCTAATCCTATATTGTTATTGATTGATTGTATTATTTTGCTTTTCCCCCTAGACAGTTTTAAAATATACACATCTTGATAGCTTAGATGCTTAATTTGGAAATTGATGCAGGAGACTCTTAGCCCCTCTCCAATTATATCTTGTGAAACAGACTCTCTGGAGATTTTCAATAAAATGTTCTTTCATTATCACTCAAATTACATCTTCACGTTTATTGACAATAATCCTGAAGAGGGTGAGTTTCTGCTATAAATCAGCTTTCACCATCAGGAGTAAGGATTTCATGAAAACTCGCATTAAAAATGTACCGCAGAAAGTATAGAATTTTATTTCTGCAGAATGCTATTGAGTAAATGACTATTATATTGCACAAATCACTGTTATAATATTGGGAAAAAATAGCCTCATTTACCATGAAACAGCATTCAAAAGCTGAAATGATAACCTTGTGGATTTAATGATGGGTTATTAGCTAAACATCGATTCAGAAATTCATTTAGGGAATAAAAAAACAAACAGACAAAAAAAAAAAAAGCCAGATTGTGAGCTGGATTTCAGCAGATATTTCTAGTGTTTGCTGTGATGGATAAGTATTCAGGGATTTACATTGCTTCAGTGATAATATCCTGTTCAGTGTGGACACCTGGGGAAAGACACACATAGAGACAAATATATTTACATGTTTTTTTTCTCCAGTGAACTTCTGATTTTCATTACCTACTTCCAAGCCAGAATACTTTTAGGATGTGTAACTTGAATTCTTAAAATTAAAAATTACTATCTTAGCTAAAATTTTGAGGTTTTTTTAGTTCTCACGTGGCATTTAAGTAAAAACATTTAGCACAAGTAAGTGGCAATTTAGAAAATAGCATTTGCAAAAGAAAAAAAAACAAAACCTAAGAATAAAAAATTAATATAAAACCCCAAATATCTTAGCTAGGTAGGAAAGAAGTTGATTTCATATTTTGAAATCAAATTTGGCTAAATTTTCTATAAACAATCTGAAAAATCCAAATATTTTATCTGGTCCAGAGCAAACAGGAAAATAGAATTTTTTTCATTCAACTTAAGTCTGTTTTTTTCTTTACATTTTTGCTCCTCAGACATCACATTAGAAATTCACACAACTCTCACTGTAGTGTCACATTTTTACACAAGTTAATTCCATGTTGCTGAAACAATACAAGCTGGAGAAGAACTGATCTTGAACTCAACATAAAATTATTCATTACTCATTATTATATAAAATAACCCCGTTCTTTATTTTGTCAATCCCACAATTTGTGTTTAAGTCTCTTAGTGATTTGGGCAGATACTTTGCATGAACAAAGAAGGTAATATTGTATGGGAAACTGTTGTGACCACAAGTGTTGTACCTCCAAGGTACTAGTGCCTGGCAACTAGTGGCCAGTTGTGTTCTCAATGGTCCCTTGGGGAATTTTCGTTGCTACTTGGTTTACAAAAAGATGTTTAGCTCTAAATTCACCTAGTCATCTTTTTGTTTTCATGACTGACATGTCTTCCTCTCAACTCTCTGTAAAAAATAATGAATAATATTCTCTGATTTTACTGTGCAGCTCACAGGAGAGTTTTTTGTACTATTCATGAGGATTCACAAGTTTAGAGTTTGCAATCAGCAAAAGTCTTGGACTTTGTTTTAAGTACTTTTCCTTTTGTAAAAATGCATTGGATACACCCTGGAATAGCAGGAATCAGAAAGAAAATTAAAAAGCAACCAAATCCACTTTAAGAATAATTTGAGTTTTCAGGGCAGTCTCGCTAGACCCTATTGCTCAAATCTGGAATTCCAAACTTGTGAGACTGGAAACACAAGATTAGAAAATTACAACCCCTTTTTACTCTCAGGTCCAGTAATAAGCAGACAATAGCTGGGCATAGGATGAGTGTCACCTATGATAGTTCACAAAATACAGATGTATTCCAAACTCTTTGTAATTTCCTGAAGTTTACCTGCATTCAACTATCTGGAATATTTTTTAAATATGCATAAGTGTCTTAAAGATACCCCCCTCTTTCCTCTTAGCTAGCTTTCCTCCAACCATAATTTATGGTATTATCAACCTGATTTACAGTGAGTTTCACTCTCTTTTATTCTTGTCACTCACAGTGGCACATGGGTGCCTAAACTTAAAAAAGAGAGAGAGGGAAGGAGGGAGAATTTATGTTAACAGGGAGGTAGGTGTTCGCTCCTTGTTATGAAAATTTGTCTTCTCTACTCACCACCATTTGGCCAGGTCAGCTGTTCAGAGTTCAAATCCTAGCCCTCTACTCTGCTAGAAAAGAGGCTGTAGAGGATGTACCTTACTGAACCCACCTGGACTAGTCAAGACAGGGTTTCTCAAGACAAAGCCCGGAAAATTCATAGCCTAAATAGGGGGTGGTGCAACATATTTTGTCCCTCCCTGAACACACGGAGATGAACTAAAAGGAGGAGAAGTAATATTGGGTGAGCTCTCTCATCTCACAAACATATATGCAGAAAAGATGGAAGTGGCTTTAGGTAACATCTGATCACATTTGCACAGTCCAACAAGGCTATGAGGTTCCACAGCCGTGAAGAAAAGCTGGCCCAAGAAGGCAGAGCACTCCTAAAAACTAAAATCACTTTATGTTCCATAAAATAAGTCAATGAATAGGCTAAAGGAAATAAAACTCATCAGCAGGAAGATGAGGTGAAACACTGTTGGGAGGATTTGAAGATGAAGTACCTAGGAGAGGAATCAATCCTCATGGGAAACAGTAACTGTTTGTTCCTTTGCAATGCTGCTTTTCATTTACAGTTGTTGAATATTGAGTATTGAACACTTATTGATCCCATTCTTTCCTTCTACCTCCCTTCCTTAAAAAATATGCTCAAATCAGGCCATTAGGTTTGCAAGAGCAGATATTCATGTGCTGAGGAAACCAGGGGCTGGGGTTGGGGTTGGGGTATTCCCAGTGCAGCAGAACCTTGTCTTTCCCTTTCCCAGAATCTTTTCTTAAAGAAGAATGATTGGAGTGTCTCAGCATGTTATAATGTGTGTGTCCAACAGACCAAGCGCTCACAAAGTGCCTATAAATTGCCTCTTGGGATTGGCCTAGAAAAATCTGGGGTTTCTATAATCTTCTTTGCAGAGAACAGTTCTCAGCTGTACCTGATGTCAAAAAGATCAGTCCTTAGCATACAGTCTTTAACTCTCCATTCTCACTCCAAAGTAATTTCTAGCATAAAATCAGCTTACAGTAACTAAAACCTAAGACACACGCTAGTAAAATATTTATAATCAATTTATTTCTCTTTAAAACACTTGACTGAGGAAAAGAAAATGAGATGAAGGAGAGTAACATTGGAGCAGCAAGATAATAAGCTTCAGACACCTCTTATTGTTGACATAATGGGATAATGTGGTAATTACATTAGTTCAAATACACAATACCTGAGTAGTGGAAGCATAATCTGACCTCTCAGGTTGAGCTACACAAATGTTACTTGACCCTTCTTCCCATGCATTTCCGTGCCCCTGGATATATGCTAAAAAAGAACCAAAGAGAAACTGAGTTGTGCTGTGACACAGTTTCTTAATCAGATGTCATTTCCACACAGAACCAGGCTAGGAAAGACATGCAATTGATAAAATAACTAGATTTTCAGCATGTTATCCACTAGAGATTTGAAACTGGATGTTAAAAGCACTTTGAGCTGATGAACTTATCACAGTTTGCTAGTTTGTATCTTGATTAACTGGGTATTAAAAGTCATTTTACTAAACTTGGAGAAGAAAAAAAAACAAACAAACAAAACAGACTGTTTCATTATGCAGGAACCAAATAAAGGACCTAAGGTAACTAAGAATGCAGTCACATAATCACAAATGTTTATTGAATGTGATTCACAAAGTATATAAAGAATACATCAAAAATAGGTAAAGCAGGGGACTGTGGGTCTAATAGTATTTCATTGGACTGTGCTAAATGCACTGGTTGCAACCTGCCTTTTTATAATGCTGTAAAATATTTCAATCTATTTTAAGAGCATCATTAATAAAACACCTACATGAATTCAACTGGAAAATACTGAATTACTCAGGGTTATATTGTATGGTTCCTAGAGACTGTAATTTTAAAAGGCTTTGCATAAATTGAGCAGAACGAAGAGGTTATTGGACTACTATGACTGTGACTAAGCAAAGCACTCTTATTTTATGTCTACATTTAAGTGTGATTTTCATTTCATGCCTAATCTGAAGAACATATTAAATGCTATGATATATGTATATATGCAACTATGCTATTGTTCAGCTTATTTCTCTATAACTTGCTAGTTTTGTAACCTTGTGTGTTAGTAGAAGCAAACATATATTTAGATTAATTCTGAATAGGCTAGATTGGCTGTGTGAGGCTAGAAATAACACACAGGGTTGCTAAGCCAATCAGAAAGAGGCTGATCAATAATGATATATTGATCAATTTTCATTCTGCTGCAACAACATCAGATTGAGTGATTATATCTACATCAACCATTTAGTATAACAGAAACAAAGTAGTAGTAAAAGGGCATAATTATAGAATCAATTTCTTCCTACTTTGAAGCTAGTTTTCTCAGAAAAGGCTGCACTTTCCCAGAGCAAATTTCAAGATTAACATTCCAGGCTGTTTCATACAAAGTTTAAAGTTTTGATAGCATTAAAATATAGCTTACCAAAGGTCTCCCTTAAAATACATTTTTCATATACTTTCCACAGAAGGAACCGAATGAAATTCTCTCACCTTTCAAACAGAGGATGTAAAGTACTCATATACAAAACCATTCTTCAGCTGAGGATGCTGAATACTGTTATTATTTTTTGTTGCTTTCTCACTTCTTGATTCAGGGTTTTCTAAGCTGACATTAGGTTTTCCTGCTATTTAGAGAACTCAGGAAAGATTAGAATTTAAAAAAAAAAAAAAAGAGAGAGAGAGAAAGAGAAAAAAAAAATTAACTTCTGAATAGCTTTTTATTTTTTTGTAGCATATTATAAACCATACTAATTAAAATTCATTTGTGGATGTGTTAGGATTTACTGCTAACTCTTCAGTTTGGATCTATGTTGGTAAACTAGGGACCAGAATTATTAGACACTACTATTTTCTTCATTGTCCCCATATTTTTATACAACCATTCCTTTCCTTTCTCTTTTATTTTTTTTTTCTACTTTTCTCCTGTGTATATCAATTAAAAGCATCCACACTACCAACAAGGGAAATATTTTCTTGTCAAAACCAGGAGCTGCATGGAAGAGAGTGACTGCATTGATAGTTAGCAGAGCAGTCATTAAGAGGTCAGCAGACAAGGGAATGACTAGTCATGCTTTGTTTAATTCAGACTAAAATTGTCCAGTTGTATTCTTGTTTGAATATTCCTGGTCTGTTGCTTTATGCAATCTTTCTGAGCAATTTTAATGGCACAGCTACTCTATTACCAATAAAAATTATAATACAGCTGAGGAATGTTAAATACAGAGAATGAATCTCAGAGGTAAAGACCTGAGGTGACTAGTCAAGGATGTTTCTAGAGAATAATCCATTTTCCTTTCTTCTCTTTCTTTGCTGTGTCCCTATATGACCAACAGCTTTGTTCAATTTACTGAAAAAGCAGAAAAGGTTACTAAGCCTGAAGACCAGACTCCAGCAACAGAAATTCTTGAGTCATGAAATTGGTACTAGCCTACAAATAAAGCATAGTTAATATTAAGGATTTGGGATTAAGCAGAATATAGTCACAAGGCTTCCTTAATTTTCAAAAGATATTAAGTGTATCACAGACGGTATATTATTATTTGGTGATGGCTGATAGTTAAGGTCCTTTATATTGCCTAGTAAAATGGATTATTTTTTACTTCAATGTACAAAACAATATAAAGTTATGATAAATATCTCTCCTTGTCTTTCGGAAGTGCTCCCCAGGAAACAGAGACCAAGATATTTTACAGACAAGAAGGTTTTTGCCAAGAAGGCAGAACAAAAATCTAGAAAACCATTCAGTACCTGCAGTGCTCTTGTGCCATGGTGTACTTTTATTTCCTGATCCCAGTCTCTGCTACTCCAACCAGCAACATTTTGTGGTTTTGCTTTTGAAAAAACAAACGTGTTATCATTCTGATCCTCCAATTTAATATTCTTCACTTTTTCCCCGATTTTAAATTGTTATGAGCTGGCTGACTTCACTGCAGTCTGTCTGAATGCAGCAATCCAGCCACATGCAGAGCATTGCAGAATTGGAGCCTAACAAAGAATGGTAAAACACGGTGTAAAATATAATGCGAAAGTCGATGTCTATGCAACAGAATAATTGCTCTCCACATGTATGGACCAGAATTCAGCTATACCTGCTGAATGCTAATACAGTGGGGGGTTTGGGGACATTATACTTGATTTCTTTGGCAGTGTATGCAGAACACAATGAACTTCTAAGCAAAAGATACAGATTGCACTCGTGGATCATATGCATTCCTATTATAAATTAATTTCTCTGCTTTTCTTCTAAAAACATCAGCATGAATCTGTATTCTGCCAAAAATTTTGTCGAAGTGTTTTTATTCAATCCAGTGCTTCACCAATGCCCCTAAACACGTTTCTCTCTTACTTTTTATTCCAATCTGTACATGTTCCTGTGACAAAATACACCGCCTTGCTATTTATACTCATGAGGGTTTTTTTCTTTCTTCTACAGTGTACAATTTCCCCAAAATATTGCAATATTTTGTGGCCTCTGTCAGGTGGTGGGAGAGATGGACAAAATGTTTCTTTTGCAGTTGGATTTGATTGTGGAGTCTCTCAATCCTGTTGCATATAAGTCTTCAAGGAATCACAGCATTTTTATTCTCAGAAAGGCAACTCTATTGCCAACACACCCTTGCCCAAGTTGTAATGGAAGAATAATCAAGTAGATTTTTTGCACTGTTCTTTTAACATCTTCCTACTTAAGCATGGGAGATTAGCTAACACTGACTTCTGATTCTTTCTTTCTGGGATGAGCAAATAAAAGTCCCTGTTGTTGTCACTTCATCCCATCCTCCCATGATGGATCAATACTTCTCTGCCAGCCTGTCAGGGGAGGACAGCAGCAATCTGGACTTATATTATAGAGCTCTCAGGAGAGAGATGTTAGAAAAAAAAGACAAAACAAAACCAGAACTGCATACAACTGCTTGTCATGCCAGCTGTTAGACTCTAAAAATAAAGAATTAAGAAAAATCTTTCAATGGAGGTAGATCACAGATTCTGTTCACAGTTTTGCTATGTTTCCAAAAACTGTGGTTTACATGTGCAACATTCGCAATGTTACAAAATGTTCCCAGTTAGTTCAAATTGAAATAAAAATCAGCTCCAAAATTTGCCTGGAAACTTCATTGGACTATAACTCCCTGCTCAACTACAAATTATGAGAGTTTGAGCATGTCACATGAACGAGTAGCACTTTGCCATTTCCCCCAAGTATCCAAGGCACTTTTAGACTCCTTTCACAGTCTTGGCAGCCTTCTGCACTCAAAAAAAGTACCCTGAAATACCCAGCATTTTGTGGACTCTGGGCACTAAACAGCAGCAGGAAATTTGACAAGGGCAAGTTAGACAAAAAAAATATATCTAGAAAAAAAAGATATGTAGAAAGCACAGCCAACAGATTTAATGTCAGCCAAAAGTGAGCACAGCACATCCACTAAAGTGCACTTACTGCAATTCTCCGTGTCCTAACCCAAACTCTTAACCTCCACAATAAGGTGGTCTGGCTGTCTTGGAAGTGAATCTTTCTTAAATTACAGATTGAAGATGTGTGGATCACAGTTTTTGTCTGCAGACCCTAACTATATAGTACAGTTACCAAAAGTAAAATGAAATAAATAAATTGTTTTCAAACACAAATTGTTCCTTTAATTCTTGATGCACCTCCTCAATTTCTATAAGTAAGAGTCTGGCTCTGACTTTTTAGAATCTACCTCTATCAGAGAGTCATAAGTATTAAACTCGTTGGACAATCCTCCATCAAAAATATGTAGGTTCTCCTGTAACAAAGTAAGACTTTAAAAGTTAGGCAAAACTCCCTGAAAAAGGAAATTAATTAAATTTAATCTACTCCTAGCTGCAGCTGATTCTTCACCTCAGGAAAATGGATTTGAAATATCAGAATTTTCACTAACAATATGTTTAAGCTCTTTAGGGTCTTCATGTTGTCACATGTAACAAAAGTTCACAGAGTTTCAGGCTTTTTTCATGCTGCATTTCATAGCTGCATTTGTTAGTGTAAAAACTCATTAAAATTCCCTGCACATCTTGTGGACAGCATGCAGACAGTATCAAAAAGAATAAATAAATCTATGAGAATTGAATAAGACCCGAGGAAGGAAAACGCTGATTGCATAGTTGTAGAAAATTTATAAGTATCTGATATACAAATGTTTTCTATATTACTTAAACCCTCAGAAAGCCATAAAGACTGGTGCTCATATTTGCTGGTAAGTCAATCTTTCTTTCAGACATCAAGAGATGACCTCTTAAGACCCAAAGATTTATCAAGTCAGCAGTTTATTCCCTTAGGCCACCATCTTCAACCTCTTCCTCTTCCAGTCACGTCGGTTGAAGGACTTTGCAAACCCCCATGAGGAAATGGACTAATCTACTTCTTTCTAAAGGACAGGAATGATGCCTATACCGACTGCACTTTATGGGATGAGAAAGCTAATAAAGGGAAGGAGACTACATCTATTGGTGAAAGATTCAGTGTGATGTTTGTATTATAAGAGACAGAGTTAGAGTGCTGCAGCTGTCAATCACAAAAGGAGCACTGTTGCCCAGCAGCAGCAACCACTACTCAGAAATTTTCAAGAAAATTCATCCATTTTTTTACTTTGTGGGCACAAAACATCCCTGAATTGGTGTAAAAAATACAGGCCTTTAATCTTTCCCTTCTCTCTCCTGTATCTTTAACAGGTAAAATACACATGACAATTTAAAGATGTGAAGAAATTAAATGGAAACCCTCAATAGTTTTTTTTATAAAATAACTCTTATTCATTTGTATTGTGTAATAATCCATAATTATTTTTTTTTTGCTGTCTGCTTTAAAAAAGTCACCTATTCAGCTCACGTTGTTATCTGTAAATATTGTCACTGTAAAAAGGAAAGGGCAACACAGGCACTGCAGTACCTTCATCAATATATGTACAAAATCATTTCTTACATATTCAGATAACCGGGATAGGGGATTATATGAAAGGAAAAAAAAGACTCTGCCTCTTTTAGACAGTCACTAATTTCTAATAAGTGGATCCAAACAAACTTTCTACCCATTAATTGAGTGAAAAACTCTGTGTTATTCTTTTCAGGCAATTGTATAGGTAGATCTGTTGGTGGTCACAACTTCATGTGGATGTCTCTCTTATAAGTGCTCACTTCTTGTATTTTTTCATTTGCCATTTTTTAAAAAAATGCAAACAAAACTTATCTTCATTCCCCTTTCTTCATATTCCTCCACCATGAGATTTGTCTTTTTTAGTCATGGCAGAGAACATCTAATTTTCAGGTTCAGAAGTGCTCCATTATCTACTCTGCTGGCTGCTACTGTGCTGAAAAAGTGTTGCCATGGGGAAGGGTAGAGATCAACCTGCAGGGCTCTGATAAGCAATCCTTTATTTTACAAAATTCTATGTACCCTGTCAGTTTAGGAATCTAATGTGAAAATACATAAATCAAACTGATTGGAATTAAAAAAAAATTTGCCCCACCCAGTTCAGATTAATAAATAGGGGATCTTAAATAAATAATATTAATAATAAATAATTTTCTGCCTCATTCTCTGTTGCCAAGTTTAGAGAGAAGATATGACTATGTAAGATAGTTGAAACTGAGGAATTCTTGGATGTGCTGTAGGGAAATTGGAGGGAGAGCAGATTCCCCATTGCCCAGGATGGACAACTTGATTGCATCAATTGAAATAAAGTGGCAATGATAGGCCAACACAACACAGAGAACATGTGGCAAGGGAATCATGTTTAAAGGGTGCAGCAATACTTTAACAACTGAATTATGTTTCCTGAATCATAATGGGACAAACTAGCAATGGTGCTAGGTGAATAAACACATTTTCTTTCAGTTCTGGGATCTTCTACCCTTTATAGTCACAGGTTGTCAGATGCTTGGAAAATTGCATGGAAGGAAGCAACCACTCCAGAAACTTTCCATGGATCCAGGACATTTTGAAAGTCTCAGTGTGTCCCATTGTTCAATAGAAACTTCATGGACTTCACAGTAGCCTTTTGCATTCCCACAGCACCTTAAACTGACTGAACTCATCTGCTTGTTCCAACAGCTTTGCTGTGAAATAGTCAGGTTCCTGTTTCTCTGAAATTTCAGAGAACTCAATGAAAAACACATTCATGGCTTTCTACAGTGGATTTGTCAATTAATGACAAGCAGATTATATTACTATGGCCAAAATGAAGCCTTACCAGACTGCTAAAAGGAGTGTTGCAGCTTAAAGCAAAGAAGTAAAAATATCCTAGCAATATGAAAAGCATTCATGCAGGCCATGTTCCAATTTCCCCACTGAAGCACTAGACATAGCAGAAGATACTTATAAATACACAAGATGCATATGGAACCCACGCAAACCATCTGCAAGTCCCTGATTTTAATTAGTTTGCTGGATACATAGAAAATCTGGAAATCTGACAGAAGTGTTTGGGTCAGTCAAGTTAAAATTCAGGATTCACTCACAAACAGCTAAAACAGAGTTACTTGATGATAGGAATACAAAGTTTATTTGTTATGTTGCTTTGTATGCTGGGGAGGTTTTAAAGTAAATTACTGTATACAAAGTTTGTTAAGTCATAAATTCTGGTATCGTTTGCTTTCTCAGAACCAGTATAAAATATATATTTTAGTTTAAATATCTGAACAAAACATCTGTTACCTGTTGTTATATTTTGGACCTGGAACTCTGCCTCCTTTTCAACAGATCCTCACTACGTGCTTTACAGTCTGCAAGTGTCTTAAAAGTACACAGCAGATGCTGCTTAGTGTTGGACTGCATGACTTCCCATTGTCCAAGACAGTAAATCTTTTTTTAATTC